GAAAATGAATTAGACAAAGAAAGTTGCTATGAGGAAGTGAGACGTTAAAAGAAAATAAATGGGATGGGACAATAAGATCGTGTTTGAGGCTGAAGTAAATAGATGGACAGAATACGTAGAAGAGATATACATTGATAAGGATAGAGTAGAGGTAAGAAACGAAAAGGAAATCATGATCAAAATACCAATTCTGGAAACAAGTTGCGGCAGCTGTGAGCAAAAATGAAAACTGATAAAGCTTGTGGTGTTGATCAGCCTCCAGCAGAATTTATAAAACAAATGGGCGATGGTATAATATGTTTGACTAAAATATTTAATTCTATAAACATCAGAGATCTTCCCAGTGATATAAAAACAAAAAAAACATCAATGAGAAGTTATGTTACTAAATATGCCAAGGGACAAAAGAGCTCCCCGTTTAGAACAATCACTTGCTTAATAAGTCATGCCTGCCAAGTTTTATTAGCTAAACATAATTTTAAGTAGAATACAATTTAGAACAGATAGTGAGTTATCTGAAGATCAAAATGGATTTAGAAAGAGAAAACGACCTAGAGTAGCTAAATTTGGCTTGAGAATTTTGAGTGAAAGGACTTTGATAGGATAAAACACAATAAACTTTTCGATGTCTTGGAAAAAAAAAATATTAATTAATGAATAAGTTACAATATTACAATTCTAAAAAAAAAATTGGCAAGAGGAGGCTGCAGTGTTAGTAAATAATGAACTTACTAATTGGTTCACAGTTACAGGGAGTAAGACAAGGCTGTGTTCTATCTCCAACACTGTATAGTATATTCAGAATTCTTAATGAGAGAAGTTATAAGTGATAATGAAGGACTAAAAGTTAATGGAAAAGTAATATCAAATATACGCTATACAGATAGTGAAGAGGCATTCCAAAAACTTGTTAACAGATTAGTGTAAAAGAGTGAAGAATATGGGTTAACAGTTAATGCTGTAAAGACGAAATAAAGGTAAATCCCAAATGAAAATTATGGTAGGCAACACGGAACTTAAACAAGTGGAAAATTTTGTATGGGCCTGTTTAGGAAGTAACATTAGCTGTGATGGTAGATGTACGGAAGAAATCAAAAGAATAGGTCAAGCAAAACTATTTAATAATCTAAAAGACCTATTGAAAAGGAACATTAGCTTCAGTTTGAGAAATAGGCTGCTGAAAGGCTAAATATGGCGAGGTGTGTTGTATGGGTAAGGCGTGGACAGTTTCAGCAGACACCAGAAAGAGGTTGGAGGCCTTTGAAATGTGGTGTTATAGGCGAATGTTAAAAATAAGTGACACAGAGGGAAACAAATGAAGTACTAAGGTTAGTCAAAATTTAAAGAGAAATAATTGAAATTTATAGAAAAAGAAAAATTAGATACATTGGTTATATAATTAGGGTTGAGGGAATAATAACAGAAATATTAGTGGGCCAAGTTGAGGGTAGGAGGGTCAGGGAGTGGCAGAGATTGAGATGGATGAATGAAAATTGGGTCCCCAGAGATACAAAATCTCGGAGACTTGGACAAAAAAATTACACAGCCTGAAAACGTTTCGAGTGGAGGACTATGGTTGCCAACCCTCAGATATGAGGATGATATAAACATACACTGGCTGGCCGCCATAAAAGCAAACAAGAGTATGTAAAAAATGGCGTCATTTATTCCACCAAGATTCTTTGCTTCAACTAGTTACGTTTAGTCTGCTTCCATTAGAAGTTAAATTGGTCGTGAGAGATGGTACCGTACTGTATGTGAAGCCTGACCCAGACTCTTTGCAACCACGACGGTGAGGGCACAAGTCTGTAGTACTGTATCACAAGTGGCCAGGAAGTGATTATAAGCTGCGTCATCGCGGGCTAGTCAGGAGCGGTCTTGTTAACCAAGACTGGTATTCATAGAGCTAGCGGACGTAGCAACAAATAGGGAAGTTGGTGTAATTGGTATAAGTACCTCCACGACAAGACTCAAGCGGTAGTTGCTTTTCGATGATTGTAAAATTTGAGGAAGTAAAATTTACTTTTCAGATCCACTTCTATTTCTGGTCTGTGAAGCTGCGTATCTCCTTCTCAGTGACTCCTGTACTGTACTGCCCCTAACAGCCCGAAATGCCGTCAACAGCCCCTTGTGTATCAGTATGGTGGCAGCAGGTGTGTGTGTGAGGCGAGACAAGCACCAGGGAATCACAGGCAGGCACAATGCCAGATATTACCCCGACCCGTAAATATATATACTTGTACTTCCACGGCTCAAACTTGGCCAAAGTGACACTCTTGTCGTTTCTGATTAGCCAAATTGTTGCTATTCGCGGCACGTCAGTATAAGCGTCTCCTCCACTAGGTAACTCACTGGTAGGTGGTAAGAGCCGCGCGGGGGAGGGTCCACTGAGAACCTGTCGTTGGTGACGGATGGGTTGGGTCACCTGCTGCTGCCACCTTGCACACCTGTTATCACCTAACACACCTGCCAGCACTTAATATATCAACACCTACACTCCTGCTTTCTACACCTGCATTACATAATAATATCTGTTTTTTGTACACTTTTGCTTCTTTCTCACCACTACGACTATTACTTGTTCTTACTAATGACAATCATTTGCAATTTATTATCAAAGTTCTTAATTTTTAAAATGATAAAAAACACCACATTTCAGCATCTAGTCGATAATTATGGTCCTCAATTACCTAAATATATTATACCTGGAATACAAGTATTGTATCTCGGCATGAAGCAACACCTGAGTTAATCAGGTTTTAACCGCTGACTGAACTGTGGAGGGCAGGAAGAGGTCACCCTAATACATAAACCATACACACACAAACGAAAAAATATATATACACATACGACACTTGTGAAAAATTACCGACACATATATTTCTGAATTAGTTACCTGACGACACACCTGGCTGGCTCGGGTTCAGAATCATATCTCTAAGCAGTTTTATAGACGATAAAGGCCAACTTCTCTACCCCCCCCTCCCATCATACTTTACCATATACACAAAAGACTCGTGATCAAGGCAACTGTTGCTACCTGCGATCTCCAGGTACTAGCTACCCCCCCCACCCCCAGTGCCAGGGTTCATCAGGCACACACCCCACCCAGGAACTTTCCTCTCCGCCCGGCTGCCTCACGACGGCTCTTATAGTTTATGTCAACAAGTTAAAAAAAGTCAGCTGCTTCTCAACTTTTACGTTCCCTTGATTGTACGAACGTATGGCAGCTACGTTTACGTGTGGGGAGGGGGGAGTGAGGTTGTTCATCATGAAGTTAGAATTCTCTTGACGGTATGAACGGCACAAATTATTCCCAGGGTTGACTTCGACGTGACAAATCTTTCTTAATCACGGCAGCGTTCATCATCGCCAGTTTACCACCACCTGCAACCACAAGTTGAGGAAGCCGTGTGTTCTCTGACCGTGTGTTCTCTGACCGTGTGCTCCCTGACCGTGTGCTCCCTGGCCGTGTGTTCTCTGGCTATGTGTTCCGTTTCCAGGAAGAAGTCGCACGATCTAATCTATTGTACAATAATTATTTTTAAATCAATTCAATATTTACGTTTTTATTTCAGTATCAATAACAGCAACGTAGGCATTTTATTATTAGTTTCAACATGAATTTCCTTTAGTTTGTTTGCATAAGAATAATATAGAATCACTTAAGAAGATCGCGGTTTTAAGTTACGCTACATCAACACGTCCTTATAACATACATCGCTACGGTATCTTAAAACAAGATACCTAGATTTATTTCACGAGTAAAAGATCCATGCCACTGTGATCCACACACTGTTTTGACTGGCCCGAGGAGCGACACCTGCTTCTAGTTCACCTCGGGACCAACACCACCTGCCCGTGGCATCATCACCTTCAGACCACTATCGGTTCCAGGTGATTGTATGAAGCGAGAAATATTTTAAATACGTTTCAAAAGCCAAAGTATAACGTAAGATAGTTTCGCTTAAGACTGAAGAAGGTGATCCCGAACTTCACCAGCACCTTGAGGCAGATGATCCACCCAGGACCAAGTGTAGCTCCTCCTCCAGGCTCTAACGTCGCAACTACCACCATGATGTTACTCGAGTTTCAAAGTTCAGTCTATACACGACATAATTTGAGAATATAAACTCGACGCCGTTCTTCAAACACAATCCTCCCATTAGTGAGCTCAATACCTAACTCTAGGAGGTGCTACTCTACCCCCGAGTATCAACAGTCATAGGCGACCTAGCATTAATCTACCCCTCCGCCGGTCAGCCTGTTATATTCCCGCTTCAGTACAAGGACGACATTCCTGTACCTTCCCTGCAGCGACAACACCTTCCTCACGGCGACAGCTTATCGTCAGGTTAGCGTTAGGATGTATTGTAAAATGTATTGAATACTATAACCGATTTTTTAGCGGTAGTTTGTTTAGTTCCTGGATTACGATTCTCTACGGTCCCTAAGTTAAACAATTTTCCTAACTGGATATGTGAGAACCGACAGACAAAATGGCGTCACAAATGCATTAAAACTACCGTAACTTGATGGAAACGCTTATTTCCAGTTGAGGAAACCCTCAATGTACTGATATACGAATATTTGAGAATCCGGGACTGCGTTTTAATCACTAACGTTTTATCTATGGCGTTCAGTCCTAGATGTACAAAGAACGTTTCGGTCCTTGTCGTTTTTCCCGAGGGATTCTGGTCCGGGGGGGGGCCTCCGAAAGACTCCGGCCTGAACGTAAATTTTAGCCCATATATTGGGGCCCCTCATGCTTCAGCAGAAAAGACTTTCGACTCGAGACGTTCTCCACCGTGGTTTTCTGAAGCTAAAGCGCCCGACGCTTAACTCTTCGCAAAAACGTTGTGAGTCAAACGTTTTAGTCTACATCACTGATCCTCCTACACAAGGCACCCTATGGGACACGCCATGTTGATTGCCTCCACTACCTAACTTTTAGCGATCGAATACCAATACAGCTCGTGGTTGCGCGAACTACCTTCTACCGGTGACTGAAGCTGCAGCACTAAAAGCATCATTTGCACCAGGTTGTGAGGACTCCCCGCCACCGCTGACTGCTGCTTCAGCGTCTACAGCAGGACGAGGTTCTACGATAGAGGGCCAAATTGCTGTGACTTTTTTTGTATGATGGTTATTGGTACTTTCTTGCTGGTGATAAAAAAAGGAGAAAGAGCAAGAAGAGAAAAGAGGGGTTAAGAATGAAGAGGGAGAGAATCGGGCTGGGAAGTAACGAGGGAGGGGAGATTAGGGTGGAGATTTTGGGGGGAAGGTGAACAGCGACTGGATTAACAGTCAGTAGTTGAGGAAGAGGGAGTAAAGCAGAGCACCGTCAGCAGGGTGGGGGTAGCGGAGGGCAACGTCAGCAGGGCAGGGGTAGCGGAGTGCAACGTCAGCAGGGCAGGGGTAGCGGACAACAGGGTCAGCAGGGCGGGAAGGACAGGTAAGCAGGGCAGCGGTAAAAGGACAGGGTCAGGAGGGCGGGAAGGACAGGGTCGGGAGGGCGGGAGGTTGCGGAAGGCAGCGTCAGCATATACTAAGACAGGCGAGAGGCGTGTGTGTGAAGTGGAGGGAGGGAGGGAGGGAGGGAGGGGGAAGGAGGGGAAGAAGGGAGGACAGGAGGGGCGTGGAGGGGGAGAGGAGGAGTGCAGGGCGGGAGGGGCTTGGACTGAAGGAGGCAATTGGCGGGCGGGTTGAAGGTGGTTGTCACCTGGCCATATATAACACCATTCAGCATACACCAACACCTGCTGACGGGCACTGGACCACCCACAATAGCCGCGACGCCGCCGACGACAAAAACTTGTTACTGTAGCGTTATGAATGGATCAAGCTGGGTAACACCGCTGAAACTTCACTTACACACAGGGTGAAAAATATTTACATGCATTTCTTGGTATAAAGGTCCACTATTCGTTAACCCGCTAAGCCAGGCGGTAATGCCGACCGTGGGGGAACTCCCGACTGTTATTAATTCATTGCATACATTGTGGCGGTGTTTTGTGTCCTCCCTTTTGGCGACGGTAAGACAGTGAGGAGAGCAACCCGCTTCTACCGTAACTATTTCATACTCCGCGCCCTTCATTACAACCCGAAAAAGTTACTCCGAAGACAAACGGAACTTTCTTTTCATTTTCTGGAATTTATAGATATATTTATAAAAAACAAAATTCCGATTTTTTTTAATTTACAGTGTGAGCGGGAGCGGCCCCAATACACCGCCATATGCTTTACCACACCTTGTAACAGACAGACGCCAGGCAAACGCTAAGCGCCAATACGTGTTCACTGCCCGCCAGAAAAATATTCAACTAATAAAAGCGTGGTTACACCCCCTCCCACCCCGGCGTCCTTCCCTCAGACATATGCAACCAGGGTAGCAGTGTCCACCTCCCCGGCCTCCGCCACCGGGCGTCCCACGGCGCCTAGCTAGGGGAGGGTAGAACGCCGAAGGGGGAGGTGTCCTACCTAACAGGAGAGGAATAGACAATAGAGGAGGTAGACATTAGACTTTGAGGGTGATGGTACACACCCGAGGGGAGTTATGGGGAGCAGAGGGGAGACACAGCCGACTGGAGACGATACTCCCCGGAGAGCTTTACGATACACCTTCCGCCGACACCGATTCCATTTCTCCCTGGTTTTAAAATACGAGGATTCCATGCGTTTAAATTTTGAAGGGTTCAAAACACGAGTTTATCCCCTCCTCCCTCCCTCCCCTCACAACCACACCGTCGGCGCTGCCTGCACTTGTTTGACGACGTCGGAAGTTGGGGGTATTATCTTGCCCCTACCCCCACCCCTCCCCCCGACTAGCCATGCATTAACCTTAAGATCAATACCCATTGCATCTGTCAAGGTGAACGGGGAACGAGAAGACCTGACGTGAGGACATGTCGTCTCATTGACGGGGGTGACGACGTCTTTGTGAAGGGCGAGGCTTGTTGTCAGGTGGGGGAGGGGGTGGTGGGGGGTTCATTATTAGATCATGGGAACATTTTTAAGGGACCAGAAAGGTTTTTTTTTTTTTACCAAGAGGAAACTGGCATGAGGATGAGGGGTGGGGGGAGTGGCTCTCGGAGTATTCTTTTTCTTTTATTAAAGTGACGGAGGAAAACAGGCGCTGTGTCCCCCAAGGTAAGAAAATCCTTACTGATATAGCTGAGAGATTTTGTGTATCCGAGGCCGCAGTATATATATATATATATATATATATATATATATATATATATATATATATATATATTGATAAAATCACACGGGAAGAAGAAAAAAACGGAGCACCTTAGCTTTCGTCTTTATTCAAGACATCTTCAGAGGCAACTGGATTACATGGACAGAGAGAGGCTTAAATATACAGGGTGACCTTATTAAACATGAGGTCAGGTCATAATGATCATCCACTTATCCCCACACCAACACACGTAGAGGAGCTTAAGAGAAGGGGGGGCGACGTGACTAGTTTGGTCAGGTCACAAATATGGTACCCACTAAATAACTATCATACATCCAGATCCAAGGTTTTCAAAGCATTTTTAACCTTGGGCCACTGACAAATAAATTTATGTAACATATCAGTTTTGAACTGACCATCACTAAGGTTTATTGATTTTAATTCCTTAATCAAACTAGCTTCAACCAGAAGTTTTTCTGTGACACAAGATGATTTGAACACTTCCAATACTGTATATATATATATATATATATATATATATATATATATATATATATATATATATATATATATATATATATATATATATATATATATATATATATATATATATATATATATATATATGTGTGTGTGTGTGTTCGTACGAGCATTAGCGACCAAGTTTAACGCAGGGGTCGAGATAATCTTGTGCTAATAATAAGACACCACAGAAGTGAAGGGAAGGTTATTAATACAGATATATTGGAATACTTTTGTGGTGAGGAGGGAAGACGAACATCACAACACAGAGACAGATGCCTGACGGCGGGAGACACTCATCATCGCCATTTTTATATATTTTTCAAATTATATATATATATATATAACTAAACAAGAGCTCTTATAATATTTCTACCAAAGTAGGTAAAGCCTTACAGGATACACGTGACAGCATTAACAGGACACGCCACCAGCCACCGTTGCCTGAGCGTCACCACCAGGGATAAAGTCATCATCGTGGCTTTTCCCAATAAAGGTTTACGTCGTACAACAGAAAAGAGGCTGTACACACACAGTACCCACACCAGCAGCCACGGTATCCACAACATCCACCACGGTGCTCTAAACACACACACAGTACCCGCACCAGCAGCCACGGTATCCACAACATCCACCACGGTGCTCTAAACACACACACAGTACCCGCACCAGCCGCCACAGTATCCACAACATCCGCCACAGTACTCCCCCAAACACACAGTACCCATCCCAGACGCTACAGTATCCACAACATCCCACAGTGCTCTAAACACACACACAGTACCCGCACCAGCAGCCACGGTATCCACAACATCCACCACGGTGCTCTAAACACACACACAGTACCCGCACCAGCAGCCACGGTATCCACAACATCCACCACGGTGCTCCTAAACACACACACAGTACCCGCACCAGCCGCCACGGTATCCACAACATCCACCACGGTGCTCCTAAACACACACACAGTACCCGCACCAGCCGCCACAGTATCCACAACATCCGCCACAGTACTCCCCCAAACACACAGTACCCATCCCAGACGCTACAGTATCCACAACATCCGCGACAGTGCTCCTACACTCACACAGTACCCACCCCAGACGCCACAATATCCGCAACACCCACCACAGTGCTCCTACACGCACACAGTACCAACAACAGCAGCAGTTTTACAGAGAGCAATGGGCTGTTAGCGCGCCATAAGACATGGAAATCAATGTCTAATTCCCAGAGTTTCCTTCCTTCTTTCCTCCAAACAATATTAATTTTAATTTGTTAACACACTGAACCTTCCCTCTGGCCCTGCCACACGATCACACTTCCCTGTAAGTCGTATATTTCTTAAGGAGATTTCGGAAAATACTCTGCATAATTAAGTCATGTTAACTATAAGTACTTTAATGGACTTTCGTTCGCGAAGTGCCTCTCTGTACCGTGATGGCTCTGGGATAAAGAAATCAGTCACTGCAGAAAGAATTCCTTCATCCTCGGTGGATTAAATCTGAAGCTAATAGCTATGTTTCCCCACATTTTTTTCATTGAGATGACACTCGTTGAAGTCGCCGTGTGCGGGTCCAGCGTAGAGCAGCAGCAGCGGCCGGCACACACCGCCACCCAGCTCTCCCCTACTCTCTCTCTCTCACCAACCCAAAATACGAGATGAAACTAATTTGCACTTCTCTGATGATTCTAAGCCGTCGATACAATTTTATAAAATATTTCAATTTCGTGGCCACGTTCTCATAACCCAGCGGCCTACAACAAAGCGACGAAGACTTAAAGACATAACTGAAAGACAAAGAGTGTGTGGCGATAACAACAACAATCTAGGTTAGGAGTAGTTCCAGGACAGAGCTGCATGTCGTCTGGTTATGTTTAATTCAAGATCTTTTATTTCCGAGACTGGATGTGAATGCTAAGGTACGGGTCCCAGAAGGTACGGGTGCTGGCTCACCTCCCATACTCTGGATCAAGAATTAAGGAAGACGAACGAGTGGGAAAGAAATAGTGTTGCTATGTGGCACTCCCCCCTCCCCCCCCGGCTGGTGGTCCACCCGCCGCCACCATCACCTTGTAACTCATTATCTTGTCATGCACGTCTTAAACATTATATTAAGATACTCTACGTCCCGCCAACGACGGCAACACACCAGGTTAGCACAATTAGCATAGTGATGACGGTAGGTGGGAGAGCCACGTGGTGAGCGGCGTGCAAGGTGCCAGTGCCGCAGTCTGGCACACAAGGGGTCGAAGGTCACGTTACTTACCCTCTCCTCCTCGCGGATCATCTCAGCGATGCCAGGTCGGATCTCGAAGTCGTCGGGGGCGTGTGGGCGTGGCATGGAGTGCATGTTGAGGAGCGGCGACAGGGGCGGCAGGTGTGTCAGGTGGGGTGCCATGGGCGCTGGGGGCGGCATGGCACCGGGTAGGCGCGCCGCTAGAGAGGTCAGTGGTGACCCTGGCAGGGTCGCGGTCATCCCACTACGGATCAGAGGTCCTGATAGGTCAATGGTGGTGGTCTCCATTGCCTCCGGTCCACTTGTCGGCGTCATGGGCGTACAGGGGCGGCTCCCGTCATCACCAGAGTACCGACGTCGTTTACGGGCGGCGGCGAGAACCGAGGAGGGAGAGCTGTCTTCAAGGGTATTAGAGAGGGCGCGGGCGGCAGGGGACACGGAGGGGGAGGTCAGCACGGCAGGCTCGGCCCCGTCACCGTCCACCTCGGCCAGCCCACGGATCTTGAGGGACTCAGCCACGCGGAGGAGGGAACCCAGCTGCTCCTGACAGATGTTGATCTCTCCCTTGTACATAAACTCCACCACGGCCTTCAGCTCGGGCCATTTGACCCCCTGTAGGATGATGACGGGGTGGGTGCAGGGCGCCTCACTCAGCAGGCACTGGAAGTACGGAGAACACGCGGACAACACCATGCGGTGAGCCTTGATACTCTGACCCTCACACGACAATGTCACGTCCACGAAACTCTCTGTCTGTAGCAACTGGTCGAAAACCTGCATCAAATTGCTCTGGTAATTGTTCCAGCGTAAACAAAACTGTTGGCTAGCCATGGTGGAGGCGCTGACGGGCGAGGTCAGGTCAGGTGAGGTCGCCCACAGGCTGGCCGGGCCAGGTGTGGTCGCCAGGCCGGGGCACTCTAGCTCTGAGGGTCAAATGTAGCTTCTTGCACTTACGACAGTCTATTTTAACATTGGTTATCACAAGTGTCACTGGCAGTGTGCCTGATTGCAAGGACGCACATGCACGGGTGCCAACACTCACACAAGCACACCGTCCGGGACGCAACATGCACTCGCTCTCGCTCCGTCCCGCACACTGACCGCGCTCACCGATTGCCGAACAACAACAGTTCCACTCGTACCGCGCTGCCAAACAGTAGGATAAAACATTAATTATTTCACTTATTTCATATTTCGTTGATATTTTTATGTGTTGATGATGTTTATAGTCTACATACAAGTATTTAAAGAACTCCTTACCACAACACACCTATAATGCAACGAATATAATAAAAACAAAACGCAACTTACTTGCTCATATGATCATTTGTGTAAAACAACAATTAAACAAGATCTAGATAACGTTATAACTACTAGGAACGAAATATAAAGCACTATACCTCATCTGAAACACCCATATAACACTCTTCCGCAAAACCCCTGAAACAAGCGACAAAAGACCAATAAATAAAATAATATCACCAAAATAAATCTGGCTACTCGTAGACTCCTCCCCCCTGGTTGACTCCGCCTCATAGTCTAATAAACTGCAGTTGGCGACCGCCGGCAGCAACGCGGCCTCCTCAGCGAAATACACTCTAATACACTTGGTATAGTAGTTATTGTTATATCACGTGGGAATTAAGAGATACTGGGATAGATATGAATTTTTATTACCCGATATCATTTCCTGTTAGTTACTAGTGTCCCGGTGAGGGATGTTTGTGTGAGGAAAGGAGAGAGGGAGGTGGGTGTAGATGGGTCACGTTGCGGCAAGTTATACCCAGCCTAGCCTGGCTGCTGCTGCTCGCCGGATCGACTCTAAACATTGATTATTTGCTGAGTAATAAGGTTTTGTTCTGACATATGTGAATGTTACGAGAGTGAGGCTTGCTACAACGACGATTCTTACACTAATGAGCGAACTTACGGGAAAACCGGCGTATATACCATACCTGTAATGATGTCGCTCGCGAGTCCGTTGGATAAAACTTGAGAGGCGGTTATGTTTACTAACGCTTCACCGTCCGTCAGCTGGCCAAACTTTTCGTAGAGTTGTGGAGAAAATAATATTAACAGTGATCTGAGAGTAATATTCTTTATTTTATTCGTTGTAAGGTCAGAAGGAGAGGAGGTGGAGGTAGGCAGAGCGTGGGGAGGGAGCGAGGCAGGGTGTGTGCCTGGGTAGCGAGATAGGGGCGGTTCCTGCCACAGTTACAACCAGCGACCCACAGTCTCTTCACCGACCGCCTCCTGCTGGTGTCGTGGGTCACACTACTGCTTACTCCTGCTTCTACTGTCGTGTCCAAACGGTGCCTATTACTGCTGCTGTTGTCATTATTGTTCTAATTGTTACTGTTGGTCAGTATGGAATGGTGCCACCGTCTCTTGATGGCTCCGTTCTGACTCCTTATGTAAATGCTAATTACAGTGATAATTATTCCAATAAATATTTTAAAAACTTTGAAAATATTATAAATAATAATAATAAAAGTAAATAATCTTCATCAGTCATATATAGACTATGATGAAAACAGCAATAAAAATATATACAGTATGTATTGACGCTTCACCGAACAAGAATGAGGATAAGAATCAACACGACATGAGTACCCTAACACCTGGAAGCACAGTTGGTGAGTCTTTATGTGAGTATCAGAAAATTTTATTAACAAGAATTATTCAGAAATGACGAGTACAAGTAGCGAGATCTTGTTAACATTAAGTACTGTACAGAGACCCCGGTACCGAGGACGGCCGCCCCCGCCAAGTGACCACTAAGGACTGCCCTCTCCTACGAGCCAGTGAGAGGGTGGGCGGGCTGTCCCACGGTTATGAGAGGACCTCCCTCCCTCTAAGGGCATGAGTATAGGAACCTGTCCTACGTCGGAGCAAGAGAGGGTGACTTTTCATACATGTTGAAACGTGTTCTTTGTAGGACCCTTCTGTGTGTGTGTGTGTGTGTGTGTGTGTGAGTGTGTGTGTGTGTGTGTGAGTGTGTGTGTGTGTGTGTGGTGTTTATAGCTGATGAGGGTAAACGAAAATCTAGTTCATTATATCAGTACAAGAACGGACTTAAGATATACAGGCATAATAATCTTGCAGTGGCGGTAAATAGGGAACTGGCGTCTTGAAGTTACACAGACTAGATGCGTACCTAAAACACATTGACTTACACTTTCTCACTTTTCATATCAATAAAAACTTGTTCTCTGCAGGGCTTCCAGACGAGCGTTTTGTGTTTATATTGCGATGATGTCTACACTCTCTTTAAAACTTCCCCAGGTGTTTCTTATTGATTTATAACGCTTTTAAAACTAAGCAACAGTCACAAAATTGCATTCCGAACCAAAATGTTATGGTGTTAATGATTGGCTGGTCCTTGTGAGCAGAATATAGTGATAAATACGGAAACTAAGCAACACAAGTCGACAAACCAGAAATACTAGAATCCACATTGTAGTCTGTGTGTATTTTTATGTGTTGAGTCTTGTTGCTGGTCTGAGTATGTGTGTGTGTGTGTGTGTGTGTGTGTGTGTATGTGTGTGTGTGTGTGTGTGTGTTGTGACTTTATCAGATTTCACATTCGAATAGGTAACTATAGTGCTGTGAAAAACTATCTATTCTGACATGGATTTAATATCTGAATATTATACAAGATGTTTGTTTAGAACCTGTATCTTTATCTGTTGTTTAGGCCGAGTCTCTCATGACGAACAAGATGGAGGATTCTGACACCATAAAAACATATATATATCTCCTTCTAATTTACAAGCATATAATAACATTTCTATATCGTGCTGTGTCTTGGCGAGGCGACAGGCACTGTAGGTCGTCCGGAGATAAATAACAGCACCATAAAAATCACACATCACCCGGTCGTTCATTAGTAAATTTTCTGAATATGTAACAATCATTATAACATCTAATGTATGATAAGCCGCTCGTCCTTAATGAGTGTACAGAACTACCCTTTGTGTGTTAAGTACATTGATGATGGCGTTCCCACGGTAAACTATGTACTTATATCACCTGTCCTCATTAAATTATGCAAAAATATGGCCAAAGAATGTTAACTGCATTGATGGTTTATATTACAACGGTAGAGTAATTATAACGGTGTAGACAGGCAACACAAGAGGAAACATCACTTCGTAATCCAAACATAACTTGACGTTGATGATAAACTGCCTTTGCTAAGCTTAAGATAGGTTCAAGATCCACGACTCACAAAGGTTTCTGCGTTGAATATTTCCCGTACGTGAAGATGTGAGAATCTACCTCAACTAAATGACTTAAGATAAAGTATAAATAAATTATACTAAAGACTGTCTTAAAACATGTTCACTAGAGGATCAAACAATGAATCTTTGGGAAAATATTCTCGATCGTAATCCTGTGGTCTAACTGGTACTAAGTGAACGTGCTGCGCCTACTTAAGCTATCGACTCAGTATAACGTTCATGTTAATTACAGTTCGTGTTATAGTTTAAGTCACCCAATGAGGCATATTCTTACACCTTCACAGGATCCTTTGTGAATCCGAACACAGATTAGTCCGGAGAGGCTTACCTTGGCTTCGACTACGATAGATTGGGTTAGGTTAGGTTTAGTAAGTAATTTTTCTTGCTCGTAAATATCTCTAAAACTGTTTATTATTTTATTGAATATTTTATTTCTTTATACTCATTATTTTATTTTATACAATATGATAATTTTGTGGTAGGTGTAAGTGGCATCTTCTTAGTGTTACTTGTAGTTAGTGTAAAGAATTATATCCGTGTCACGTAGTAGACAACATATAAGAGCTGACGCTATCACGAGATATTCCAGCGATAAGTAATAACAACACCGTTAATTTATAATACACATTATTATTATCGTGTGGGAATAAATTAAAATGCATAATACAGTAACTGATATCCTATACAAAAAAATACAACATCTATTTATCATATTCTTTAAAATACATCAACCGATATACATATATATATATGTATAAATTGAGAAGTAAATAATACAAATGACTCCTGGTAATTAGTGTAATATTAACTAATAATTATAACACTATATGACCACTTGAACAGGTGGCATAACCAGGAGGCGGCGCTGAACTATTACTTCTCTTGTGACATTTAATATTCACAAGCATACATTGTGGCAAATTGAAATAGTCATATACTGTAATAATTGTCAAATTTAATATATAATTGGCCCAGAAATGCCATGTGGAAACTGACCTATTTATGGGGAAATTTGTTACCGAATTGATATATCAAACTGAGGATAATAGCGACTGTGTGTATGTATAGATTAATACACTAGTATACTTTATGTTGTATATTATGTAATTATACTGACATACTAAGCACTGTAGGGTAATTGTAATCATTCACTACACCGCGAAATGTATCACATTTATATAACGCTTGTGTTTTGACAGGAGTTATATACAGTATACTTTATTATAATACACTGATAACTGTCTCTCGCAACAGCCAGTGTAATAGTTTAGCACAACACAGACACATGAGTCTCTTGAGAGATACACCGAGGCTTAGAACATGATGAGACAGTCTGAGAGATATATTTTCGAGAGACACTTTAAGAATTTTTCTCAAAACTTAGGAAACTGTCACAAAATATTTCTCATGAAACTCATAGAAATATCTCTCAGGAGATTTAAATAAATATTTCCCAGGAGACTGTCTCAGAATTTCTACCAGAAGACACTCAGATTATCTCACAGCAGACACTCACAAAATATCTCACAGCAGTCATAAAATATCACACAGCATTCACAAAATATTTCACAGAAGACACTTACAAAAAATCTCACAGTAATCACAAAATATCTCACAGCAGACACACAAAATATCTCACAGTAATCACAAAATATCTCACAGCACTCACAAAATATCTCACAGTAATCACAAAATATCTCACAGCACTCACAAAACATCTCACAGCAGACACACAAAAATCTCACAGTAATCACAAAATATCTCACAGCACTCACAAAATATCTCACAGTAATCACAAAATATCTCACAGCACTCACAAAATATCTCACAGCAGACACACA